ATTCATGGATAATGTAGATTTTGGTTTTTTTGTTTTGTTTTGTTTTGTTTTGAGAAAGAGTCTCGCTCTGTTGCCCCAGGTAGAGTGTAGTGGTGTCATCATAGTTCACTGCAACCTCAAACTCCTGGGCTCAAGTGACCCTCCTGCCTCAGCCTCCTGAGTAGCTGGGACTACAGGTGTGCACCACCATGCCCAACTACTTTTTCTATTTTTGGTAGAGACAGGGTCTCGATTTTGTTCAGGTTGGTCTCGAACTCCCAACCTTAAGCAGTCCACCTGCCTCGGCCTCCCAGAGTGCTAGGATTACAAGCATGAGCCACCTCACCCAACCCAATAATGTAGACTTTTTTTTTTTTTTTTTTTTTTTGAGACAGAGTCTCCTTTTGTTGCCCAGGCCAGAGTGAGTGCCGTGGCGTCAGCCTAGCTCACAGCAACCTCAATCTCCTGGGCTCAAGAAATCCTGCTGCCTCAGCCTCCCAAGTAGCTGGGACTTCAGGCATGTGCCACCATACCTAATTTTTTCTATATATATTAGTTGGCCAATTAATTTCTTTCTATTTATAGTAGAGGCGGGGGTCTCCCTCTTGCTCAGGCTGGTTTCGAACTCCTGACCTTGAGCAATCCTCCTGCCTCGGCCTCCCAGAGTGCTAGGATTACAGGCGTGAGCCACTGTACCCAGCCAATAATGTAGATTTTTAATGAAAGGATCTATGAATTCAAAGAAAGGGACTTATACTGCAATTACAGTGATACTTCCTACAATGTCCCTAGTTAAGGCTCCCCTTTCCCCCAAGTTCCCCCCCTCAGTGGCAGCTGCTGCCATCTCTCTTCCTCACTCCATTTCCTTCCCCTACTATCCTGCAGCTGCCCTCTAGTCAAATTAGTTCTGTCTCCTTCCCTAGCCCATTTCTCCAATTCCCTCAGCTGCCATTTCCTTTGTTTATACATACACACACATATATTTTAGAGACGGGGTCTTACTCACCAGACTGGAGCACAGTGGTGTGATCATAGCTCACTGCAGCCTTGAGCTCCTGGGCTCAATTGATTCTCCTGCCTCAGCCTGAGTAGCTCAGCTGCCATTTCCTGAGAGGGTCTCATCCCATCATTAATTAACCCCTTAAAATGCTTCAATGGTTACTCACCACCCTCAGTAGAGTCCAAATTCTATAATACGGTCCACTGGGCCTTGCAAGCCCTAATTCCAGTTCCTTCTCCCTCCTCTTCCCCACTTGAACTCCTTGGCTCAGCCATAGTGCAGGGCGGTGGGTACTTCCCCTGGCCTGCCATGCTCTTTTCTATCTGGGTGATCCCTCATGCTGTCCATTTTGTCTGAAATGCTTTTCCCTTCTTCCCCCTGGTTAACTCCTCTATTGATCCTTTAGGACTCGACCTAAACATCTTCTAGAAGCCTTCCTTAGAATGTCTAAGACTGTGGTAGTTGCCCTCTAACATGGTCTCAAGCAGCTTACCCTTAACCCAACTGAGTAGAGTAAAAATACTCTACTTGACTGTTTGAATAGCAACTAGTACACACAATTTGAGGACACAGGTGTATTACTGCATGCCCTGAGCCTCATACAGGGCCAAAATCACAGCACGCATTCATTGGTGTTGAATAACTACATGAATAAAAGCTAAAAAGGCATCCCTATCCCTGCCTATAGTCTGAGAGAATGGAGCTCATGAACTCTTTGAGCCTGAAGCCATAATTTTGACCTCATTTGTGTTCCAAACTTTAAAGGTCAGTAGGAACAAAATCTACCTTTGGGGTTCCATGGATGATCCTAAATGCCTCCTAAGGATTAGCTGTGTTCATTCTAATCCAAGAAGGCTGTACTGCCCACACGTCTGCATCTGGGCACATTTTCTAGGCTAGGTAACAACTCCTTTGAGGATTGGATGTTGCAGAACAAGCTGAATCATTACTAATTGCAAGCAGTCTTCCACCTAGAGTCCTACTGAATCACTTAGCTGACTCTACTTCTGTCTCTAGAAGCTGCCCAATTGTCTCCAACAATTCCAGGCAATAATCACATAGGAGTGGTAGGACTCGGAGAATGGTATTAATACACATAAACACACCCCCAGAAATGAGGCATCTGGATTTTGGGATGCCTTTAGGATATGTCAGCTCCTATAAGGCTTAGTACTTAAGACTCAAGATCATATTTGGCCAGGGCTCTTTCCTGCTTGCCCTCTGAAGCCCAGCAGAGAACAGCCGGAAGCTTTATATAATCCAGAATACGACAGTTCGATTGTTTTATTTTAGTAATCATTTATTGTGTTTTATTCCAAAAGTATTACATGCTAATTACAGACAATTTGAGAAATACAGAAAAGCACAAATAAAATATAGAAATCATTTCCATCAAGAGATATCTCCATAAACACTGAGGTTATTTTCTTCTATTTCTCTGTTACAAGCAGCAAATATATGATATATATACAATATATGTATGCATATATCTATTCCCTTGTACAGAACTGAAATAATATTATATGCAAAATTTTATTTCCTTTTTTGTTTAGAACAATCTTCAACTATTCAGAAATGTATCACATCTAAAGTGAAAGTTCCCACAATTGCATTCTTTAGAGAGAACTGGTATCAGCCAGTTTAATAGATTCTTTCAGAATATATATTTTTATTTGTATACATTAAATATCATCTTCAATTCATTTTAATTGTAACTAAATTAGCGTGACATTAATATCCCTAATGCCGTATTAAAATATGACTTAATAATTGTGTAACATTCAATGAACCACTCCCTTATTATCAGTTTGTTTTAATTGAACAGAATGCAATGATGAACATATGTATGTAATTTATTATGAGAATTTTTGCTTTTTTCTTTATGACAAAATCCTACAAGCAGAATTACAAGATCAAAGATCATAATATACATATGCAATATGTGTATTTTTTTTTTTTTTTTTTTGAGACAGAGTCTCGCTTTGTTGTCCAGGCTAGAGTGAGTGCCGTGGCGTCAGCCTAGCTCACAGCAACCTCAAACTCCTGGGCTCCAGTGATCCTTCTGTCTCAGCCTCCCGAGTAGCTGGGACTACAGGCATGCGCCACCATGCCCGGCTAATTTTTTATATATATATCAGTTGGCCAATTAATTTCTTTCTATTTATAGTAGAGACGGGGTCTCGCTCTTGCTCAGGCTGGTTTTGAACTCCTGACCTTGAGCAATCCGCCCGCCTCGGCCTCCCAAGAGCTAGGATTACAGGCGTGAGCCACAGCGCCCGGCCTACAATATGTGTATATTATGAAAGCCTAATGTTTATTATGAACTTGTCTTCCAAAAAGGATAAACACTTGGTGGTATATGTGAGTGTCTAAAGTTTTGTCTGGTTTAATTTTAAAAGGCTCAGAGATGGTATAATGAGAAATCAACCATTTTCTGATTAAATGCTTGGTTTTATTCCCTTGTTATTGTAAGCATTAATGGAATTGTGGATTTGGGGGAGGGTTGTTTGTTTTAGAGACAAGGTCTCACTATTACCAGGGCTAGAGTGCCTTGGAGTCATCACAGCTCACTGTAACCTCAAACTCCTGGGCTCAAGCTATCATCATGCCTCAGCCAAGTGCTAGGATTTTACAGGTGTGAGCCACCATGCCCAGCCCTTAATGGAGTTTCTTTTTAATTGTTTTATTTTGTTTGTTTGTTTGCTTTTTATTTCTTTTTTTTTTTTTTACTGGATGAGGTTCTGGGGCCCCAAGAGAGGGGGGCCCCAGGAGTCGCCCTGTTTATTTTTGAGACAGAGTCTCACTCTGTTGCCCAGGCTAGAGTGCCATGGTGTCAGCCTAGCTCACAGCAACCTCAAATTCCCGGGCTCAAGCAATCCTCCTGCCTCCGCCTCCCGAGTAGCTGGGACTACAGGCAGTTGCCACCATGCCCCGCTAATTTAATTTTTTCTATATATTTAGTTGGCCAATTAATTTCTTTCTATTTTTAGTAGAAACGGGGTCTCGCTCTTGCACAGGCTGGTTTCGAACTCCTGACCTTGAACAATTTCCCCGCCTCGGCCTCCCAGAGTGCTAGGATTACAGGCGTGAGCCACCGCGCCCGGCCTGAATGGAGTTTTTTAAACAAACTTATTCCCCACCCAACATCTTACATCTTATAAAAAGTTTCAAACATAAAGGTTGAAAAAATGGTACAGTGAACTCCTGTACACCCCTTGAGAGACTACAGTTATCATTCTGCTATATTAGCTTTATCATGCAACCATCTGTCCTTGAGTTTTCATTTTTAATATGAAAAATGTTCTCTAAATTAAGTCTTCTGATGCAAGGCCTCTTTGTTGTAACGTCCCCGATTCAAGGCTCTGCACAATGGGATGTGGAGAAGTGCCAAGTGTCTACCTGCGCTCCTGAAGGACTCAGCACACAGGATGGGGTCATGGCTCTGGGTTCTAATCCTGACCCCACTGAGACCTGTTTTCTCCCCGGTAATATGGGGATCCCTCTACCCTGGGCGAGGATTAAAAGCACAATCGCCGGGTGCACACTCTGGTGACAGCTACTGTCTTTTAGTCCCTTCTCTCTGATAGACTCCAAGTCCAAGTTACGGAGTCCAGTCAGTTCCAAACAATTGTAAAACTGGGTCAACGTGGCCCAAAGGGCTACTGACCTGAGGCAGAGGGCCGCTGAAGACTCTGGGGGCCGCGGCGAGGTCAGCCGGCGGCCCAGCCTGACTTCTTCCCTCAGGTGCCCGCACGCAAAGGGACAGCGCGGGGCCGGACCAGGCGCCACCCGTGTCACCTCGGTGAGCGCTCGTAGCGGTCTGTGAGATAGGCGGCGCTACAGGCAGAGAAACTGAGGCTCCGGAGCGCCAGTCACTTGCCCAAGTCCACTCAGCGGGGAAGCAAACCGCGTTCCGGGCTTGAATCCCAGCGGCCCGACTCTGCGTTCTCCCTTTCACCGCCAGAGACCACGCCTGCACCTGCAGGGGGCGCCGGCCCGCGCGCACGCGCAAAGATCGCAGCCGCGTCCCCTTTAAGAGGATTCCTTTTGGCTCCGTCGCCCCTTCGCTTCCGCTCCGCGTTCCCACAATGCAGTGCGGCTGAGCGCCTCCGAGCCCGCGGGGACGCTGCAGGGGGACCCGTGCTGAGGCGGCGGCGGCGACGTGGGCTGCGGCGGGCCCGCGGCGTCGGGCGGTGCGGATGTCGGGCTGGGCAGACGAGCGCGGCGGCGAGGGCGACGGGCGCATCTACGTGGGGAACCTTCCGACCGACGTGCGCGAGAAGGACTTGGAGGACCTGTTCTACAAGTACGGCCGCATCCGCGAGATCGAGCTCAAGAACCGGCACGGCCTCGTGCCCTTCGCCTTCGTGCGCTTCGAGGACCCCCGGTGAGGCCCCCGCGCGTCCGCCCGCCCTCTCGCCCACGGAGCCCGAGGCCCCCGCCTTCTCTCGGCTCCCCTCCCCCGCCGGGGCGTCCCCTCCCCTCCCCCTCAGCGTAGACCCCTCACGGCGCCCCCGGGTGGAGGATGAGGCCTCCTCTCCTCGCAGGCTTGAGCAGTCCTTTGCTCCGTCGTCACTTCCTTTCATATCATCATTATTTTTTTTTACTTAGAAACCCAAAAGCTGAGCCTTTGGAGGGCCCCAGCCCGCCTAAACCGCCCTCAGGGATGGTACAAATTAGCACTCTCCCCCTCGCAGCTGTGGAGGCACCTTAAGGGGAAGCGGCCCAAGGGCTTGGAAATCTCCAGTCCCTGAACCGGCCCAGGTGGAGGACGCGTTGAAGAGAAGTCTCTAGTCGTCCGTCCACCCCTTCCACGGCCAGAACTTGCCGTTGAGGAAGAACAAACTGCGGGGATGTGGATGCATTTGGAGGTCGTAAAGGGGTGTCTGTGGTGGAGCAGATTTCCATCTGCACGCGCCCTGCCCCTCAAAGATAGGACCTAGTCCTCAATAAAAGTCGGCAGGATTTGGGAGAACTTCTAAAACAGCCTAAGGGGGGGGGCTCTGGTTTCACTTCCCTCCTTTCATGAAGGAGGGCTGGCTAGATGCTAAAGGTCCTAGGGATTTGGAAACTCTAGAACTCGAAATGGGCTCAAATGAATGTTTGTGATTTTGCAAACATTGTCAGCCCTCAGGCCGGAAAAGGCCCAGGAACTTTCAAAACTGTGTTTCGTGGTGCTTAAGAGTGACTGCACTGTACTGATCACCACCCCGGCTAAATAGCCTGCCCCGTTTTCCTAGCTTTGCTCCTGGCGGGCCTTACTACAGGGAATAGGAGGAATGTCTGTAGGGTGACTTGCACACCTGGGGTGGAAGTATTGATAGGGCAAGGAGAGCATCTGAGGACAGGGAGGCAGGAAGCATCTGGAGGCTTTGATGGGTGAACACTCTGACAGAGCTCATTCCTAGTGTTTTGTCATTTGCCTCAAAAACAAAACTGGGCATTTTTACACTTAAACAGGAGAAGGTTGTGCCTCTATTATTTATTTAGTAACAGGGTCTTTGTGGTTTTTGAACAGTTGCTATGGATCAAGTACCATGCTGTGTTATCATTTAGCATTTTCAACAACCTATGAGGGTAGGTACTGTTAACTACATTTTACAAAAGAGAAAATTGAGGATTTAGTTGATAATAGGGATGAAGGTAGCATTAGAACGCCCTGTTCTGCCCTTAGAACACAAACTTACTGTATGATGTGCTACATTGTCATCTCTTCCCTCATTCCTTTCATAGTAGGAAAGCTATCTTTTGATATCACTGGATGGGAAACTTCAAGCAAAGCTCTCTGCATATAGTATCTTATTTAATCCTTACAATAACCCTTTGAGATAGGCATACTACTGACATTAGAGATGTTAAAGACTTCATTAAACACTTACCCAAAGATAACTACTAGTAGTAAGTAGCAGAAGAATGATTTGAACTCAGGTCAGTTTATATTCAAAGACTGCTCTTAAACCTTAGCAGCTGTGCCTCTCCCATATTGCATTATAGGCAGAGTTGCTCTGGATGTGGTCCTGGTTGCATTTAGTCCTAGAACCTTTTTATTATTTATTTTTGGAGACAGGGTCTTGCTCTGTTGCCCAGGCTAGAGTGCCGTGGCATCAGTCTAGCTCACAGCAATCTCAAACTCCTGGGCTCAAGCAATCCTCCTACCTCAGCATCCCAAGGAGCTGGGACTACAAGTGTGTACCACCATGCCAGGCTAAATTTTTCTGTATTTTTAGTAGAGACAGGGTCTCACTCTTACTGAGGCTGGTCTCCTGACCTCAAGCAATTCTCCCACCTTAGCCTCCCAGAGTGCTAGGATTATAGGGTTGAGCCACCATGCGTGGCCAATCCTAAAATCTTGATAAGTGATTATGTGCTGGTGACACTAAAGAATGCCATCATTAGCACAACTTCAGCTCCCTATGTCCACCAGAGCTCCAAGGCCATCCATTCTTTCTAGTACTGGAAAATCAGCTTGGCATTCCTAACTCTGCTAGGGCCCTAGGAAAGACTTAACACATTAACTGCAAAGAGTTGTATTTAAACTGAAGCTAGGCCGGGCGCTGTGGCTCACGCCTGTAATCCTAGCTCTTGGGAGGCCAAGGCGGGCGGATTGCTCAAGGTCAGGAGTTCAAAACCAGCCTGAGCAAGAGCGAGACCCCGTCTCTACTATAAATAGAAAGAAATTAATTGGCCAACTGATATATATATAAAAAAAAATTAGCCGGGCATGGTGGCGCATGCCTGTAGTCCCAGCTACCCGGGAGGCTGAGGCAGAAGGATCACTCGAGCCCAGGAGTTTGAGGTTGCTGTGAGCTAGGCTGACGCCACGGCACTCACTCTAGCCTGGGCAACAAAGCGAGACTCTGTCTCAAAAAAAAAAAAAAAAAGTCTTTAAACTGAAGCTAGTTTTGAGCCTGGGGCCTCGTGGAGCATATGTAACTTACAAGGCTCTTTACTTTGGGAGTCACGTGAACTATTTTTCAAGTTGCATATTACTCATGCACAGAAAACAATAAAAAATAACAATTTTTTCATTAAATTAGAAAGGATTGTTTTGTTTTTGAATTTTTTATTCTATTTTCATAATAAAACACTGTGGTCCAAAGGAAAAAAAAATTTTTTCTAGTATGGCAGTTGGTGTGTTATTAAAGTAACTTTAGTGAATGTTTACCTCTTTTGGCAAAATTGTACTCAAAGTGGTTTTGACAATTTAGTTCTCCACACCATGATGAAAGGTATACTTAAGACCACGTTCATCACAAAACACTCATTTGCATTTGTCTTTAGAGCCCTACTTTTTAAAACAAGTTTTTCTTTCTATAGACTATAGCACTAGGCTCTCTGGAAGATAGTGTATGGTGTGCTTTTTGAGAAACTGTTCACCAAGGTTAGAGAAACACTGGTTTACTGGGAGAATCGGTCATCTGTCAAAAAAAATTTTTTTTCTCTGAATTAGCCCTCTTTTTTTTTTTTTTTTTTTGAGACAGAGTCTCATTTTGTTGCCCAGGCTAGAGTGAGTGCCATGGCATCAGCCTAGCTCACAGCAACCTCAAACTCCTGGGCTCAAGCAATCCTGCTGCCTCAGCCTCCCGAGTAGCTGGGACTACAGGCATGCACCACCATGCCCGGCTAATTTTCTATATATATTAGTTGGCCAATTAATTTCTTTCTATTTATAGTAGAGACGGTCTCGCTCTTGCTCAGGCTGGTTTCGAACTCCTGACCTCGAGCAATCCGCCCGCCTCAGCCTCCCAGAGTGCTAGGATTACAGGCGTGAGCCACCGCGCCCGGCTTGAATTAGCCCTCTTATAAGTAATGTGCTTGCCCATTTTCATTTCATATATATAGAACTCTGTGTGTGATAGCTGTAAAGTTTAATTTCAGTATCATGAAAGGTCTTCAAAGCAGAAGTACATCAAGATCCTGTTATGTGTTTTTTTCCTCACTCTGGGTTTCCCTTTTGTACTTAATATTCATGTTCCTCACTGGGAAGTCACTAAGCCTCCTAAACAGCACTATCTCTATAAACTTTTCTTTGCAGAGATGCTGAGGATGCAATTTATGGAAGGAATGGTTATGATTATGGCCAGTGTCGGCTTCGTGTGGAGTTCCCCAGGACTTACGGAGGTCGGGGTGGGTGGCCCCGTGGTGGGAGGAATGGACCTCCTACAAGAAGATCTGATTTCCGAGTTCTTGTTTCAGGTATGTTCCTTTCAAACTGAATGAGATAATACATGTAAAATGCCTAGCACAGAGTATGGCTTCCAAGGAATGGTAGCTGTTACTCTTCAGTGCGTGGGATACATGGGCTTTCTTTTCATTAGCCTGTGTGCAGTGACAGTCTTGAAGCCCTGCCCTGGCTTGCCAGTGAGGCAGGGGTATCCTGCAAATGAAATTGTGCTCATAGCGCATTCTGGGAAGAACATAAACAAACTTTTTAAAGGAGTTTCTAGTGGTGAGAAGGGAAGATGACGGCAAATCCCCTTGAGCTGGAATTTTAAAGTCTTTTCTTCTGCAATGTGGTTTGGTATCAGATTTGCTGAAAAGGCATTCCAAGAGCCAGATTTCAACAGTTTACCCAGCCTTGGATCCCGAAAAAGGCTAGATTCTGTGCTGGTTTTGGAAATATATTTAAAAAAAAAACCCCAAAAAAACCCCACAACTTGGAGTCTTGGGGATCGTATTGGAAAGTATAGAACATTTCTGTCTAATGTTGATAAGTGATGAAATGCTAAGCTTGTGGGTTTACGTATCTTTAAAATGTTACATTGGTAAAAGACCTGAAGCCTCCTGCACATTGCAGGAGAGTTTTAGGGCCCCAGTGGAGTGAAATGTATTGAGGAGCCTGGCACCTTTTAAGATGTGAATATCATGCAATCACATCAGACTCCCATGTGTTTAAGAGTGATACTCAGTATCTGCCTATCTTGTGTCCCTTTGTAATTTTTTAATCCCAGAACTCTGTTCCCTCCTTCAGGATGTCATACATTATCTTTTTTTCTCTCCATGCTGCTCTGAAATCCTGCTTAGAAAACTATTAGGAAATGGCTGCAGTCCTGAGCTGTGAGCGGTAAACACAGCCTTTGAGAGCAAGAGCACATTTCCCTTTCATGACATCAGGTAGGGTTGTATGACTCCCGACTAGTTTTAGCATCCGAGTCTTACCTTTCCCCCCCACTGTATTGAAGAATGTTGGTGATCTCTTAAGAGGTACTTTGTGTAGTTTGTCAGTCATTCACACCTACAAAAAAACCGAGCTCTTTTAGATTTTTGTTGTTGTGTAACCTTCAGCTACACTTTGGTTATTTCATTGGCTAGTTTCAAAATTCCCATGTCCTGGGAAACCCTGTAAGTCAAGAAATAACTGGTAATGTTAAATTTCATAATGGAAAAAATTAAAACTCAAAGTCTTGGGAGTTTGGCATTGATTATGAAAGAAAGAGAGGCTGTGAATTCTTAGAGATATTAAACCTATTAACAGACCAAGTTCTTGCTCTCTTGGGAAGGCTCGGTCTCTGGAAGGTTAGTCTAGGACCAGCTTCTCAGGGTGGTTTGTTTACCACACATACTTAAGTGTTCTTTTCTGGTTTCATGTCCTTTGTCAAGATTTGTGATTTGGGAACCTTCAGGATTTAAGCAACTCATGGAGAAGGGACCATAGGTATTGCTGGCTTTTAACAGGGCAATTAACATGGCTGAAGGATGTGGGCCCTTCTTTTATGTTCTCCATGCCTAGGACTTCCTCCATCAGGCAGCTGGCAGGACCTGAAGGATCACATGCGAGAAGCTGGGGATGTCTGTTATGCAGATGTGCAGAAGGATGGAATGGGGATGGTTGAGTATCTCAGAAAAGAAGACATGGAATATGCCCTGCGTAAACTGGATGACACCAAATTCCGCTCTCATGAGGTGAGTTCTTACTGTTCAGCTTGTACCCAGGTCACTAGCAGAAGTTAGCAGCAGGACATGCATTTCTCATTTGGTCATCTCACAGTACCATGAAGTGGACAAAGCCAAAGAATTTGGCATGCCTAAAGCCCTGCAGGGTCACAGCAGAGAGATGTGCATTCATAGCATCTTTAACCTGGAGATAGTACTGGTGCAGCCTGTCATAATGTGGGGAGCTATTCTGTGATAACCATCCCTTTTATAACTAGCTTAAACAACAGCATCCTTCTGTGAACCTAGCTATTGTGGCTGTCTCTCCTCTGGGTCTAGTCTGGGCTTTGTAGGCCAACCTTAGCTCTTCCAGGTACTGCTGTCAGGGCTGAGTTGTCACTTCACTTTTCCTTTCCCAAAGTAGCACAGGATCCTCTTTAAAACTTGAGCCACTGTGACATTTTCTTGTGGTTAATCACCTCACCCTTGGGGCTTAGTTTTTGATGTCATTCCTTTTAGGAAGGCAGCTGCTGCTTTGGATTGCTCAACTTGATTCGTGTGTGACTATCTTTGGTACCATTGAGACCAGATACCAGAAGACCAGTTAGACATTGCATTTTTCTGGTTATCCTGTCCTAACTTGCTATGGGGTTTAAAGATGTCTAGGGGACATAGATCTCTGGGCTCATTTCTTTTTCTGAGGATTCATGTAATTCCCTAGTTTTAAGGGTTGGAGGCTGATCCTTGCATGGCTTTTGCTCAAATTGTCCTCTAGGATTTGAATTTGGAGCAGAAACAGGACAGCGCCTGGTCTTTGTTACATTGCAAAGCAAGGCCTCAGTAAGGGTAAATCCAATTACTGACTTTCACCTAAGGTGCAAAAGGATCTGGCTTTTCACCTTAGCATCTCTAGATATTCTGAGAGTACTGGCTGAGAGCAGGGGGCCTGGAGACAGGTCAGCCTAGACGTGACTCCTCTGCTGCTTATTAATTTCTTAGTTGAGCCACTCCTCTCTGAACCCAGGCTCCTCCATGTACAGAATGGTCACTTAATGGCACTATAACAAGACTTGCCAGGAAGCTAACTTGTGAAGATAACTAGAACTTCTAGTCTTTATACTTGCAAGATGTTAAAAATAGGTTAGCTTCTTCCATAGATGCCCCTTCCTAAGATGCATATATGAGATGGCAGTGGATTGAACTATAAGATCTCTGAGACCCTTTCTAGTTCTTAGCTTCTGGGGTTCAGTGGCAGTAATTGAGATATTTTATTAATAATAGCTAACATTTGTGTATTTAGCAGTATGTCATGTGCCATTTATTATTTGTGTCACCTTGAGCAAATGATATAATTTATGTCTTAAATTTTCTTCATTTTTGATGGGATAGTAAGAGTATCTATCTAATAACATGGGATAGTAAGAGTATCTATCTAATAACATTACTGTGGGATAGCACTGTGCCAGGCACGCAGTATACCCAGTAAGTGCTCAATACTTAACTATTATTGTTAGGCAGCCAGGGTAGGTGTTGATTTGCTTAGTCTTCTGGCTTTTATTTTTTCCTTGACTCTTTGTTTGCATTTCAGGGTGAAACTTCCTACATCCGAGTTTACCCTCAGAGAAGCACCAGCTATGGCTACTCACGGTCTCGGTCTGGGTCAAGGGGCCGTGACTCTCCATACCAAAGCAGGGGTTCCCCACACTACTTCTCTCCTTTCAGGCCCTACTGAGACAGGTGATGGGAATTTTTTCTTTATTTTTTAGGTGAACTGAGCCTCTTTGTGCTCAGAATCTACATTCCAGATTGATGATTTAGTGTCTTAGGAAATTTTTTAAATTTTTTTTTAAAGGAAAAAAAATTACATAATTTCTACCAGGGCTATATTAGCAGTGAAATATTTTAAAACTGCAGAAATTGTGGTTTTGGTTCAGAAACAAGTTGTATATTTTTCACCCCTGATTATGGGAAGAAAATCAGCGCTGTGTCTTTGTGGGTTGCTCTGCTATGGAGATCAGCAGTTACTGTGACTGAGTCGGCCCATTCTGTTTAGAAATATATTTTAAACGTTTAGTAATTGACATGTGTGGTTGTCCTTGATTAAGTTCATAGATTTCACCAAACAGGTACACTCATTAAAAAAAAAATCATTGAATTGTAGTAGCAACTTATACCCAGATATTAAGGAACAGAAGTGGATCACTTTATTTGGGGATAAAGATAGTTGTTCTCATGTTGGTTTGAGAACTTCAACCTTGAAGGCAGGTTCAGAGTTTTCTTTTAATTCAAGGCCAAGTTTGTACATTAAGCTGCTATAAAGAAAAAGGGAGCACTGCAGATAAAAGAAGGGAATGGAAGTATAAAAACAGACTTTTTAAAAGTAAGCAGCAGCATAAAGATGATTGGGAAATTCTTAGCCAAAACCACTTTGGCAGTTTGGTTGGAGGAAAAAAAAATCTCTAGGCCAGGTGTGGTGGGTCACACCTGTAATCCTAGCACTCTGGGAGGCCGAGGCAGGCAGATCGCTAAAGGTCAGGAGTTCAAAAAAAATCTCTAAGGTCTGGTTCTATTACTTTTACCCCTAAATAGGTCTCATCTATCCTTGGTATCTGAGTTTTTAAAAAACAACAAAAGACCCTGCCCCACAATTTTGGATTCATCTTAATTTAATAATCACTTTGTAGGTGGAAAGGCCTTCTTTGTCCTAGGCCCAGTGGTATTTTGATACATTCTCTTCTCAGAAGGAAAAACACCAGCATATGATTAGTATCCCTTTTGTATACACAGTCACTTTGTGGGATGGCAGATGGTTCTATGTTAGGAGTTCCTAAACTGTAGTCTACTTTGAATACTCTTCAGACCCTGACAAAAAGCTCTCTGCCAGAAACAAAGTGGGTACCCAGGAACAAATTTGGGTATGTTCAGTAAAGATAGGGCTGCTGAAACCAACAGAAATAGCAACTAAAGATGACAACTTGGGTTGTTACAGTGATCAGATGCTCTGTCTACCACTTATATAAAAAGGAAAATATACTTTTATGGAATTTGGTAGACAGTCTTTTGGGGGGGAGATAAAGGAAGATAATGTCTTCCATACTGAACAGGTCTGTTAAGTAAATACTTGACTGGAAACTGACTTTTTGCTCTTTCCTTTTATTTCCATTAGCATCAGGAACTCATTGCCTTGTTTTGGCTAGCTCTTTTCCAATCTGTCTTCAGAAGTCAGTTACTAAGAAATGTTTGAGCCTCCATTTTTTTAGGTGACCAAAAGAAGTGGGACGTTAGTGTTCATAATAACAAAACTATTACTGTGCTTCCATGTGTCCACAGAGTACCCCCTTCCCAGAATAACTACTCAGCTGTGCGGGAAGGGCTCTTGTTCATCCAGCTTTGGCAAAGAGATATTACCTGTTTGAAAACAATAACAAAAAAAGAATGTTATAGCTGAGCCTCCTGCCCAACTGGCTCTACTGAGCTGATTACTTGCTTTGCATTAGAAAATAAGCAATGGGAGTAAATGTAGCTACTATACTATTCTATTTTTCTAACTATGGATATCTGAAAGAATGACAGTTATAAGTGAAGCCAAATTAATGCACACTTTTCAATAAGGTGTAGAGACAGGTTAATTAGCCATTTAGATACAGATAGCAGTTGAAGAAAAGACTATGACTATGAACTCAGTTTGTTGCAAGAAGCAAAGTCTGAAGCATCTCTGTTTGGGAGATTCCATATATGATCAGCAGATATGTCTGCTGCAGAGTGGCAATTATCGGGCTTTGAGATGGAGAGATTATGAAAACCTTATTTCTCTCCACAGTTAACTGAGATGGTTAAGTGAATAAGAGGCATGTTTAAGAGTTTAGCTCACAAGTTTTCTAGCTTTCCATCCTATCCTTATTTCAACCAGAGTTTTCCTTTTACTGGTTGGTCTTGATCAAAAGACCCCTGAGCTGACCAGGGCCAGTGTTTTATGGAGGCTGCTCAGAATGGTTCTTCCCCAAGGGGTTATCCTAAACTGGAAGTTGGCCTTTGAAAAGCAGTCTACATGATTGCTCTGGCTAGTCCTGTTCCCAAATGCCCAGAGGGGTTCAGCAGCTCTGAATACTCATCCATCCGCCGAGGAGGAAAAAAATGGAACCTAACCAAGGTTCTGGACTTTATTATTGGCACAGGATTATTTTAATATTTCTATTTAAAATATTAACAGGTTAAAGATGAAAATCTCCACACCAGGGGTTGCAAACTGACGGTTAACAAGCTGCGTCTGGCTTGCAGGAATGTTTTATTTGGCCTGCATGGTATTTTATTTTTTTTAATTTTGAATTGGTTGCCAACACTTAAAATTTGGGAAATATCACACAAAATGCCAGGTACCAAGATTGTGTGGGAGAATGGGCTCACATTCCTGCCCATAAATGAGAAAGCAGTGAATGTCAGCTGTCTCTTTAGGCAGAGCTTGAGCTCCAGATTTGTCACCCACTGTACACCCTTCTCCCCTAAACCTGTTTTGCTCATTCCTGCTACTGACTGGCCCCTAGAGGTGAATATGACCTCAGACTCTTGCCACCTTAATGTCACCATCTGTATGCACGTTATCCTTTTCAAAGTGCCTTCACATAACATCTTTGGTTCTCGCAGTTCCTGGTTCATTCTTTAGGTCACTGTGAGACTATCTGTTAAACCACTCTGGGCAACACGTACCTGGAGGGGCCACAAAATACTCTTCCACGACACGATGAGAGTTTTGTAGTAGTTCTTCAGCACAGTTGCCTTCAACTACATTGTCGGATCTCAAGTATAAACATCTACGAAACCCAGAAGCTCAAGGTTATCTTCTCAGAAAATTGGTCTTCTAGGGCACAGTAGACAGGGTCGGTTAAGAATGGAGAACAGGGAAGCAGTGTATTCTTAAGGGCACTGTTCAAAGATAGAGCAGCTGAGGTCAACAGTAAACCAAATAATAATCTACAGTTTATCGATTCCTCCCAACAACTCTGTGAGGTAAGTGCTAATTATTTTTCAGGATTTGATATGTCTAACATATTTTTGGGTGATTACTATAGATTTTTGGTGGTGACAGGTAAAGGCAATCATAAAACAATGTGTTAAAACTAACAGAAGTAACTGAAGCCTGCAAAGGGAATAGAAAGGGTTCCTGACCCAGCCTGGGTGAGGAGTACATACTAAGAATAGGTCACATCACTGCTCAAGAATGGGCAAGAGGCTGGGCGCGGTGGCTCACGCCTGTAATCCTAGCACTCTGGGAGGCCAAGGCGGGCAGATTGCTCGAGGTCAGGAGTTCAAAACCAGCCTGAGCAAGAGCAAGACCCCCCCTCTCTACCAAAAATAGAAGGAAATTAATTGACTGACTAAAAAAATATATATATATAAATTAGCCAGGCGTGGTGGTGCATGTCGTAGTCCCAGCCGTTCAGGGAGGCAGAGGCAGGAGGATTGCCTGAATGCAGGAGTTTGAGGTTGCTGTGAGCTAGGCTGACGCCATGGGCTCACTCTAGCCTGGGCAACAAAGTGAGACCCTGTCTCAAAAAAAAAAAAGAATGGGCAAGAAATAGCTAGATGGGTGTGTGTCTGGGGGGATGTGGATAGGAAATGCACTTCCTAGGAGGCACAGCAGCATAAATCCCAAAGCAAGAGAGAGAGCCAGATTCAGAGGAAGGGGAGTTTAGCAGGCTGCGGTGTGGCCCCCTTGAAGCAGAAGCTAGAAACCTAAGCAGAGATGGAGGAGGAAACTGGCTCAAGAGTGACCTACTTAAAGATATTGGCTCCTAAGTGACAGAACTGGAATCTGAGCCCTAAGATAAATGCTTTTCCCACCAAAGCCACCTTGGTGGATATAAAAGTGCCTGCCCTTGCAAGATGTACCACAAGCATAGCTCAAGAAACTCCCAGTATTCTCTGGGCCTAGTTACTTATCTTCACATGGCAAACTGGTATAACCAAACAGGAGCCTAATTAAACATACCCATGAAGTGTCACTATTGTTTCAAGGTATAAAAGTGCATGACAAGATGTCTGAGCCTGTTTCCAGATACTTGGGCTGAAAAATAAGCAGTCTGTTAAATCACTGATGAGAGGGCAGCCAAGCTCTTTCTGCCTTGAGTGAACACGGCTGACAGCAAACCCTAATGTTTGAGTCACATCACAAAGGGGCAAGGATGATGTGAACATCTGAGCAAAAGCTGCACATGAGGGCTAAGTTCTCACGATAAGATTCTTTCAGGAAAGGACTAGTTATTCTCTTGTGCACCCAGTCCAGAGGCCAGACACAACAATATTTACTCAGTGTGTGAAGACTGCAGAGCTGGAGTCTATTCCAGGATATGGCACTATCTTAACTGCATGGCCTTGAACACGTACAGTCTTTCTAGGCCTTAAGTTTCTTGTCAAAAAAAGTTAGGGTTATACTATGCTTTTTCCCCCCTTAACCACACAAGGATTATACATTCATTTAAGAAAATTTGGGAAAACAAAAATCATCCATAATTGTACCATTTAAAGGTAACCATTAGACTTTGTGGAGTTTATATTTTCTGTTGGACAGTATAACAAAATGGCTACGAGCTTAGGCTCCTAAGTCACAGCTGAATCCAAATCCCAGTGTCACATGTCACTTATCCTCAACATGTTTTAGTTTCCTTATTTAAATGCTTCATAAGGTTGCTGGGAAGATTAAATAAATGAAATGATGTTAAAAAACAAGATTTGGTAATGCTGAGCCTGCATTCTCATGGCAATAAGAATGCTGAGTGGCACCTGCTCCTTTCAAAAAGAGTCAGTGTACCCCAGTACACCTGTCCCCACCACTAGTTCAAAGTCTACGCGCTAAACTTGGGATCACTCATAACCTGCATTTGAAGATTTTTGAAGCCAGGCGTGGTGGCTCACGCCTATAATCCTAGCACTCTGGGAGGCCGAGGCAGGCAGATTGCTGGAGGTCAGGAGTTCAAAAACAGCCTGAGCAAGAGTGAGACCCCTGTCTCTACTAAAAATAGAAATTAATTGACCAACTAAAAAATATATATACAAAAAATTAGCCAGGCATGGTGGTGCATGCCTGTAGTCCCAGCTACTCGGGAGGCTGAGGCAGTAGGATCGCTTGAGCTCAGGAGATTGATGTTGCTGTGAGCGAGGCTGACGCCTCAGTACTCACTCTAGCCTGGGCAACAAAGTGAGACTCTGTCTCAAAAACAGATTTTTGAGATGACTCTCTACTACCACCAAGAGGAGATTAAAAGCTACTGCTTCTCAACAGTAGAACTAATAGCAACTGATTTATTCACTTATTTGGTAATCAAGTTTACTATTTAAGTGTAATTTCCAGAAAAGCATAATTCACTCCTTTAAATATCACACTTCTACTTACTTACTGTCAATGATGGAGCTGTTCCTAGAATAGACCCACACTTCCTTATTTTCTTAATCATAGGCTATTGAACCTAGGGTCTCTGTACCAGTGGCACACTAAGCAGACCCCTCACTTGTTGGTAAGTTTCTTAATTTTCCTGGACCTCAGAATCATGTATAAAACACCTGACAGGACCAGATGAGCTCTTCAGGTCAATTACTGAATGACTAAATATCTATTCACCTGTTTTTCTCAATCAGGGTTCTATTAATATAAGAGAAGTTAGACCAAACACCATAAGACAGCCATTTTCATGATAAATCATCTTCTCTCTTATACATCTGGGCTAACATTAGATATGAACTGCCCGTGGGAGAATTGAAAAAATAGTCACTTGAATCTTCTGTGTTCTGGTTCAGATATGGAACCCTGGCTGAAAAGGGCTTCAACTGCAAACTAGAAATCCCTGCCTGCTGGCTGGGCGTGGTGGCTCACGCCTGTAATCCTAGCATTCTGGGAGGCCGAGGCTGGCGGATTGCTCGAGGTCAAGAGTTCGAAACCAGCCTGAGCAAGAGCAAGACCCCCGTCTCTACTAAAAATAGAAAGAAATTAATTGGCCAACTAATATATATAGAAAAAATGAGCCAGGCATGGTGGTGCATGCCTGTAGTCCCAGCTACTCGGGAGGCTGAGGCAGTAGGATCGCTTGAGCCCAGGTGATTGAGGTTGCTGTGAGCTAGGCTGACGCCTCAGTACTCACTCTAGCCTAGGCAACAAAGTGAAACTCTGTCTCAAAAAAAAAAAAAAAGTTTTTTGGTCCAAATAAGGCTCTGAGGGGCCTGGCACGGTGGCTCTCACCTGTAATCCTCGCAGTTTGGGAAGCTGAGGTGGGAGGATGGCTTGAGGTAAGGAGTTCGAGACCAGCCTAGGTAATATAGTTAGCAGCCATCTCTATAAAAAATAGAAAAATCAGCTGGGTGTGATGGCAGATGCCTATAGTCCCAGCTATTTGGGAGCCTGAGATGGGAGGAGAATTGCTTGAGCCCAGTTTGAGGTTGGAGTGAGCTATGATGACTGCACTCTAGCCCAGGAAACAGAGTAAGACTATTTCAAAAACAAAACAAGACTCTGAGGGACACTCAAAGCATTGAATTATGTGGCTGCAATCAGAAAGGCAGTCAGCTAAGTCAGTCTCTGGATTTGAGAGGAAAGAATAAAGTTCCCAGGAGTTGACTTTAGCTGGCACATCTAGAACAGCATTTGATAGCACAGGCTCTGAGTTCCATGTTTGGTTCTCTTCTTACTACCTATAAAACTTTGGGCATGTTATATAAGCTTTCTGAGCTTCAGTTTCCTCATCTATTAAACAGATACTTGTATTTACCTTCTAGGATTGTATGTGAAAATGGAGATAACACATAAATTCTCAGTCCTTGGCATGTAGACATACTAATGCTTCTTAGCTCAACAGGCTATATTAATGTGCAAAGAGATTTCTATTAGCCCAGTCAGGGCTTTTAGAGCTAGTACAGCTATTGCCTAAAACCATTTAATACCTGTCTTCACTTTACTGGGTTCTGTTTCAAATTCAATGAGGCAGTGTGTTCAAAACACTAAAGTCCTACAAGTGTCACATTAAAATGATTAATGGGAATCAGTAATCCAAACTGGTTTCCAGATTTATGAAAATAGTGCAGATCACAGAATGCCAAGTTGAGATGCTAGTTACCAGATCCAAATCCTCATCTTTTTTTCACAAACTCTTCCTTTAGTAATAATGGTTGCATTTCTTTATACTACCCTCTAGATAACTTGGGAGATTCTGACTCCTCTTTGTGCTTCTATTCCCTCCTTCCCCGAAGGTACTAATAAAGAACATTCATTCAACAAACATTTACTAAGTACCTACTCAGTTCTAGCCACTGCGAACACAATGAGCAAACAACAGACATGTTCCCTGGAACCTGGATAAGCAGTAGGAAAGCGACAAATGTCCCTCAAATAGATATATAAATACATGTAAATATCCGCTCTATTGGGTACCAGGAGAAAACCACAGATTGTGAAAGAGAACTTAACTCAGTATAAAAGAATGAAGACTTCCTGGAGGAAGTGACAGTTGCAGTCTGAAGAAGAAAATTAAGCAGGGACACCACAGGGGTAAAGGCAAGGGCCCAGAATTCTAAGGGCAGAGCATGGAGAGCTGGAGGAACTGAAAGTTACAAAGGAGAGGTGGGCAGGGGCTCAGTTAGATGGTGCCCTGCAGGCTATGGTGAAGCTTCTGTCTTTACCATAAAGAATGGTAGAAAGCCCCTTGAAGGGCTTGGGTAGGAGAATGACATCGGATTTGTTTTGAAATGCTGTGTAACCTTGGGCAAATTGTCCTCTCTGGACCTGAGCATCAGATCGCAAAGTAGACAAAACATTTGAAGGAATCAAAGGTTGGAGGTGAGAAGGACAGGAGGCTAATAAATTTCACATAGCACTTTACACAAAGGTATGGTTATAGATAGGACTGGCTCTCCCTATTGTCACTGACTAATGGCAGCTAATCTTTTTTGTTCCCACTTGTAGTTAGGAGGTTTTTTTGTTTTTAATTCTCATCAGGAAAAGGCGAGGATAGTGATAGATTGCCCCTGTCATAAGTCACACACCCATCTTCCTTAAGAAGTTGCATTCCCAAACAGCAAACAAATCTGCTGGGAGGAAGCTTTTCCAAAAAGAGAATTTTCTTTAAAAATACATTAAGATTTGTCAATGAAAAAAAAAATAAGATTTGGCAATGATTAATAGAGGTGGGTAGACCTTTTGATATTCACAAACTAGTTTTGTCAATAACTCACCCCTCCATATGTACTGCATTACACTAGACTACTTCACTAGTTGTATTACTCTGCCCTCTTAGGCATTTGTGGTTTTGGCTCCTAGTATAAAATGAAAGTTAAAGCTTCCTTCCATATTTCCACTTTCTTTAAAACATAACATTTTGTTAACAGTTTCTTGCATACTCATTCAGGAAACAAAATTTAATGCATACACCTAAATATATAAAACAGATTACACATTATCCACATTATCAATAAAGCTGTTCTAACTTTGCCTTTTTTTTTTTTTTTTTTTAAGAATATGAAGTGGAGGAGGGAGAGTGAGGTTCAATTTCTTTCTTTTTTTTTTTGAGGCAGACTTTTGCTCTGTGGCCCTGGGTATGGTGCAGTGGTATCATCATAGCTCACTGCAACCTCAAACCTGAAAGGATCCTCCTGCCTCAGCCTCCTCAGTAGCTGGGACTATAGGTGCATTGGATTCTATTTTTAGTAGAGACAGATGGGGTCTTACTGTTGCTCAGGCTGGTCTCGAACTCCTGACCTCAAGTAATCCTCCTACCTCAGCCTCCCTGAGTGCTGAGATTACAGGCATGAGCCACAGCACCTGGCCCTAACTTTGCCTTTTTAATTAAATATATCTTGGAGACTTTTCCATATCAGCATATTTGATGTTATTTGTATGGTGATATATGATACTTATAATAGTTATTTGTTTCATTGTTTTTTGCAACTGTCAAATATTCTATTGTATGATGTATTTGCAGTTTATTTAGGTTTAGGTTGCTTCTGGGTTTTGTTTTGTTTTTGGTATTATAAACAGTTTTGCAGTGGACACTTGTGCGTGCACATCTTGATGCACTGCCACAGGTATTTCCATAGAAAACCACCTGGTCAGAAAATAACGTACATTTAAATTTTTGAGAGAGGAATACAACAGTAAGCAAGTCAGACAATGAGCCCACAAAAAGAGACATAACAGATCAACAAAAGTAATAAAAATACTTTTAACAACCCCAACGGGATAAATAGTGAATGGCTGGAATGGGAGAAGAAATTTGGAGTAGTCAGGAGAGGCCTCTTTGAGAAGACCTGAGATCTGAGTGTCAAGAGGGAGACCCCAGGCAAATACTTGGGGGCAAGAAAAAGCGAACAAAGGTCCTAGGGAGGGAAGGAACTTGGCTTGTTGGAGAAGCAGTCAAGGAAGCCAGTGTGGCTGGAGGATACTGAGCGAGAAGGGCAGTACGTCTGAGTGGGTAGGCGGGGCCTCTGAAGTAGGACCTCGAAGGTGATGATTAACCGTTCGGATTTTGTTCCCACTAAGTTTAGAAGGACTCAGGTGACAAGATCCATAATGAACAAAGGGAAAAGTGAAGCTATTTACCCGCGGGGTGACTGTGGGCAAGTTCCTGAATCGCGCTAAGGCTCTTTCACCCTCTGGGAAATGAGTCACTAATCGCCACCTTAAACGGTGCGCGGGCGTCAGTGAAGGCTTCGGGGTCGCGGCCGCGAGTTTACCTGTCCTCCAGTACGGACTCCATGGGCTCCACCCCGTCCGTGTGCACGGCGTGGAGCCGGTCGGCGAAGGCGATGGCTTTCTCCAGCCGCGCCACCGCCTCGCGGCTGCCGAAGTCCACGAGCGCTAGACGCTCCAGGTGCTCGATCACGTCGGCGGTGACTCGGCCACTTCCCTAGGGTATGAGGCGGGGCGTGTGGGTCACGAACGGGACCTGCTCCGCTACCTGGCCTGCTCCGCCGCCCGTCCAGACGCCCCCGGACTTTACCTGTGGATCCGCCTTGGAGGTGAAGCCCCGACGTCCGCCCAGCGGGGCCCGGAGGCCCAGCCACACTGCCCGCGCCCACATTCCTTCCCTTCTCGGCCCCCGTAACGCGCCCCGACGTAACGCCGAGCGACGCGCCTGAGAGTGATGACATCAGCGTGCGCTGCCGCCGCCGCCACCACTGTCGCCATGAACAGCGTAGGGGAGGCTTGCACGGACATGAAGCGCGAGTACGACCAGTGCTTCAATCGCTGGTTTGCCGAGAAGTTTCTCAAGGGGGACGGTTCCGGGGACCCGTGTACCGACCTCTTCAAGCGTTATCAGCAGTGTGTTCAGGTGAGCCCTCCCGCGTCTGCCACAAGGCCCGCATTCTCTGCGGTGTCCCCCGCCACATACATCGTGTCTTGCGGAGGTTGGGACGAGGAGGATCGAGAAAAGCCGCAGTGGGGCCAGTGGCAGGAGCCCTCGCCCCTACCGTCACCACCGAGGCCGCTTGGGTGTGTCTCCGAATGAAAACGTTAAATGTTTTTGCAGTGCTTTACTGTTTAAGGAGCATAGTAACACCCTTTGGTTAATTTGGTGCTCGTTCTAAACTTGCAAGGTGGACATAGTTATATGTATTTTATACTTGGGAAACTAACCCTCAGAAATAGGAAGTATTTGGTCCAAGTTCACTAGAAACAGGTTGATTCTTTTTCAGGTGGTGCACTTTTCTACCATTACTGTTCAGGGACTGGGCAGGGTTAGCCTTTCTCTGGCCGGTTAGACTTTGTGAAATGTCCGTTGTTTATGTTGTTATAATCTCTTCATTGGCCTGTGTATCTTTCTCAACTAGTCCCCCCCGTCCCCCAGTTGCAGCTAGGAAATTTTCATTCCAGCCCAATGGATGTCGAACTGCTTTGAATTACAAGAGCATTGGGCAAAGCACAATAAGTTAAGCTAAGATCCTAAGGGTAATTCCACGGGGTAGTTGCTATTTTTATCCCACTTACAGATGAGGAAAGGGAGACTAGTTCACGGTCACACAGCCTATAGCAAGTCCTGGGACCCAGATTTGAATCTGTTTCTATCACTAAGATGAAGTGGTGATACTAGCTTTCAAATTTCACCAAATGATTCCCTCACAGCTCATCCACTCTGTTTGGTCTTACACTTGATTTCTTCATAATGGCAGGTTGTTTAAAAAGTATGTGATTCGGATCATGGTTGTGAGTCTTTACAGTCCCAGTCTGGTTTTACTTTTGTCATCATATCTTATTTATAAAGCTTGGTCCTCAAGTTTCATATAGATCTTCATGATGTGTTTTCTCCTCCCATCAGAAAGCAATAAAGGAGAAAGAGATTCCTATTGAAGGACTGGAGTTCATGGGCCATGGCAAAGAAAAGCCTGAAAACTCTTCTTGACCTTGACAATCACCTTGAAAATGGATTCCTCAAATCAAGAAATTGACGACTCTGGATTTTGTCAACTAAGGCTGTTAAGATAGCCATCAGATCTGATGAGGAATTTAGGAGAGAGGAGTTTTATTTCCTCCTCCTTGATGTTTTTCCTCTCACTTTTAAAAGGTGATGAATTCTTTGCTTTGAGATGATTTTGCACTTGCTCTGGCATCTTGCAGGAACTCAATGTGCTAAAATTGATTAATTTCTTGGGGTTACGGTTGCAATATTTAGTCTGGGATCAGCTTTACATATACCTTCTATGTAGATAGTGATAAACTAGTCAGGATGATCAAGGTTGCCTGACCTCTTGATTTTTGCTGCAAAAGACATCTACACTCTACTGGGGTCATTGTTGATTAAAGCAATTGGTTAGGACCTCTTTTTTCTCTCAGGGAACTAATGCTATGAAAAGCGATCTGGGCACAACAGTTTCAATCAATGCTTCGGAGCACAGTTTTATTTTTATATAATAGTAACTAATGGTTAAGATGACTGGTGGCCTGGAGTAGCAAAGAGGAAGACAGCTTTTAACGGACGGGTGGTTCCCTGCCTTAACAAGAGACATTGGATTAAAATGTGAAAGCTTCAAGAATGTTGCAGTGGACAGGCGCCGGTGGCTGACGCTTGTAATCCTAGCACTCTGGGAGGCGGAGGCAGGTGGATCGCTCAAGGTCAGGAGTTTGAAACCAGCCTGAGCAAGAGCTAGACCCTGTCTCTACTATAAATAGAAAGAAATTAATTGGACAACTAATATATATAGAAAAAATGAGCTGGGCATGGTGGCGCATGCCTGTAGTCCCAGCTACTTGGGAGGCTGAGGCAGCAGGATTGCTTGAGCCCAGGAGTTTGAGGTTGCTGTGAGCTAGGCTGACGCCACGGCACTCACTCTAGCCTGGACAACAAAGCGAGACTCTGTCTCAAAAAAAAAAAAAAAAAAAGAATGTTGCAGTGAACACCATCTAAACGCTCACAGTGTAGTTCAGGAATTATGATACTTGGAGTAACTGTGGAGGAAAAACCTAAATTGCAAAGCTTTGCTGCTGCCAGTTTTCAACCCAAGTCAATGAATTAAGTCTACCTGCATATCATAAAAATGCTGCATCTGGTTAAATGGGGGAGAAAAGGTGTTTGCTTTATTTGCCTTGTTTACCCACCCTGCCCAGTAATGTCTGTAATCATGAGGATGGAATAAATTGGAACATTTAGTTTCTATCATTATTTGCCCCTGAAACTCAGTGCACTTTATCAAACAGTTATTACTGTTACCCCACATCTCATACATACACTGGGGAAAGTTTTATCTTTTGTATTATTTAAAGGTGAAGATTTGTCTAAGCTAGGTGGTGTGGTATGGCAACTAGAAGCCTCAAAGGCCGGGCGCAGTGGCTCATGCCTGTAATCCTAGCACTCTGGGAGGCTGAGGCGGGAGGATCGCTCAGGTCAGGAGCTCGAAACCAGCCTGAGCAAGAGCGAGACCCTGTCTCTACTAAAAATAGAAAGAAATTAGCTGGACAACTAAAAATATATACAGAAAAAAATCAGCCAGGCATGGTGGCGCATGCCTGTAGTCCTAGCTATTTGGGAGGCTGAGGCAGAAGGATTGCTTGAGCCTAGGAGTTTGAGGTTGCTGTGAGCTAGGCTGATGCCACTGTACTCACTCTAGCATGGGCAACAGAGTGACACTCTGTCTCAAAAAAAAAAAAAAGCCTCAAATTTCCACAGTAGGCTACATAGATATCTTACAATAGATTTATATTATGGTAGCAAGAAGTGTCAGGATCGGGGGAGCACTTACATACTAGATTGTCATGTAATCCCCACAGTTGCCTATCTTGAGTAATTTGGTTTAATTTATATGCTCAAAGACAGTATGAAACTTGATTTACAGAAGGCTGAAATTCTGTTATCTTCTCTCCACTTTACTAGTTACTACTTCATATTTAATGTGACCAATTCCTTAATGTCATTTCAAAGCATTCTATATTTATATATTCTGACTGGTTAAGGTCTATTATGCAAGGATTATAAAAGAGATTTAGAACCCAGCTGAGGGAGGCCAGGTATATCTATCCTAAACTCAGACTGGCCACAAGCAAAACAGCTTTTATGGGGACTCAGAAGTACAGGGTGTATACCACAAAATGGCAAACATAATAGGGATTCTTTCCTTACTATATATGGCTTTCAGTTTCTATATACCTTACCTTTGCATTACCAGTTTAATATGATGTACTGCAAAATACCTTGTAGCCTCATGAACCATGCCACAAAACTATCCCATTGAGCCTTGAGAATAAACTAGCTCCAAGCAACAATATTCCTTCATTGTAACTCATATTGAGAGGTCTGTTTGATGTGAAAGCTGCATATGCTAGCCCAGAAATTCACTTCTGAACCGCCTTTTGGGAAAATTGCAGGAAATATCTTAAGCAAACCTCTTCAATTTCAACTGCGAAGGATGTTCTAATATAATTGTCAGAACAGATTTAAGAATTGCAGAAGTATTACTCTGAAGCTCAAGCTCAGGTCTCTTACCCTATTCATATTGCTGTTAAGTCTAAAAAGACCAGATACTAGTAGCTACCATGCTTTATGGACACAACATGCCAAAAGGAGTAACAGTGTACTACTGAGAGAATAATTTTTTCTGAATGTTCCTTACCCTGTTTTGACTTCATGCTCTTCATAAAGTGATTCCAACTACCTCAGCTACTTCAAAGGTTTCAAGTTTTGATTGAGGAGTTAGCTGCCTTTTCAGAATGATTTTGTAACTATTACTGTTTCCCCTCCTAACTCTTATGGCCAGAGAATAGTTTTAATTCCAGAAACAAATAAAGCCAATACTATAAGAAGAAATGTGTCACATTTCCTTTATTTCTCTAAAGATTTCTAGCCCTGTCAGCCTTCAGGGTGGCGAGTGATGGGTCTTAACCCCAAGGTAAGAACTCAACACCATTAGAGAGAATTATCCAACTACAGAGAAGATTCTACAGCAAATGCTGGTGGAATGGAACAACAGAAAGACCCAGAGGAAGCATTTCCTCTTGAGAATCAGATACCTCTTTCAAGCGTAAACCGTAGCCATTCTGCTGGGTATTCAATGTCTTTGACATCCAAAGTCTAACAAGGACCCAATCTTGATAATTAGCTCCATGGTACTCCTGGTCCCTTGACTATAGCCACACGAGGCACAAGAAGCCAAGGAGCCTGTTACAAACATTGTCTTCAGCAGGGTGGATTGGACCTGAAACGCTGTAAACAGCAGCCAGAGACCTTCACTGCAGAAACAGAAATAACATTAATGCTAATTTCTAAGGAAAAACGCAACCAAAGAATGTAACTCTGAGCTCATGACCAATCTAAGTTTAAAGTATTTATTTAAGCCATCTCCTGCCACAAGCAAAGGGATGGGAGATCAGTATACTGGTAATCATTTGATAAAAGGTGAGCATAAGGTCCCGTACACTTTTTCTGGTCCGTGTGCAGAGTAATGGTCCAAACCAATGCTGTGGTCCCCAGTGCCTGGGTAGTGGTCCAGGTTTTCTTTATTCATCTTCATAGCCAGTTGGAAGTGGATTCACATGAGGGTTGTGGAATAGAGTATGGTTACCATCTCCCCAGGGAAAGGGCTGTGGAGTGAAAATGTCAATTAGACAATTCCAGAAAATAGTTCACAAAGAGCCCTGCCATAAACTGCTTAAAACAGGGCGACAGATAATATATAAAAACAAAATGGAAATTAGTCATTTGTCTACTGGCATATGTCAACCTTCCCATTATTTAAAGGAGCCCTCCTTAAAGTAGACAGTAGAAAAAGCAAGCACAAGTTACTTACTCATAAGCCTCTCCCTAGTAACTAATATATCCAGTGTTGTATTTATGAAAGTGTAATCCTGATCACCTGTATCAGAATGGAAGCAGTGTAGGGGAGGAGATGCTTATTTAAAAGCAGATTTCTGGGCACCATCCCAGACTTGAAACAATCTCTGGATTGGGAAACCACAACTTACCCTCAGTTATTTTGCCCACTACCTTTGAAAAGCATTGCTCTAGAGTCTAGGGCAATGGTTTCCCACCCTGGGTGATTCTGCACCTCCAGGGAACACTGGGCGGTATCTGGAGATATGGGTGGCTGGAATGGTGGTGCAGGTACTACTGCCACCTAGTGGGTAGAGGCCAGGATGCTGCTAAACATTTTGCAATGCACAGGATATATCGGCCAACTTACCCCAAACAATTACAGGGACATAGCCCCAAAGGTCAATAATTCTAAAGTTGAAAAACCTTGCTGTTTGATTTCTAATTCCACTGTACAAGGATGGGAATGGTGCTCAAAGATTCAAAAACTTAAGAGTCGAGTTTAAGTTTTTACGAGGCCAGTCCTACAATAGGCTAGGTGATGGAATATTTATTAAAGAACCAGAAAAGGCCCTTGTTAAAGATACAGTAAACAATGGAGATCATTAAATCTATATCAATAGCCAAATGGTAAAACAGTTGAGACGGTATTGGTGAGGAATAGAGAAACCTGTCAGTCTCTTCATTACACAGCTAGTAGCTGCCAGACGCCCAGGTCTCAGAAAGATGAACCATCCTGAGACTTTGCCACTCTAATGTTTCCCACACCTCTAAGTTTTCTTCAAAGAACAACTGTATCAGAAGCTGGAGGTGAGATGAATCGGAGAAAAGGGAAAGTGAAGGGAATTTATCGTTTGACCTTGAAGAAAACAGACATAACGCCAAATCCGTTTTTCTTCCATAAAATGGGAAAAATAAATTCTGTTTGTGAGGACTAAACAAGAAACTACACGCCTGGCACTCAACGCTCTTATGGAATGAAGAACTTGGAGGAGGGCATTATAGTGAAAGGAGAACGGAAGTTTGAAGACTGCAAGGGCGTACCTTGGTCCTGATGCGAAGATGGGGGTAGGGGATGAACTCGGGTCTCTCGTGCTCTCCGTGGCGCGACTTCAGGAAGACGTTGAGCATGCTCACTGCCACCCCGGGGAGCGCGACGAAGAAGGTGAGGGCCTTCCACATGCGAGCTGCGGAGAGGCCACAACCGTTCAGCCCCGGAATGGGGCCTGCCTGGGTCTCCCTCTACCTTCCTCAAGGCCTCACGCCAAGGTCACGGTCCCGCCTTGCCTCGCCCGAGTGGAGCTGAGGCCCGCCCATCCGACCCCAGCCCCAGTACCTGAGCCCTCTTCGCCGTGGGCGCCACTCGACTTAGGCCGCCCCAGCTGTGGGCGGGACCGAGCCAGCAGCCCAGAAACCCGGGACACAGCCGCCGCCATTTTCCACCTGGACCGCCGCAGCGCCGGAAGCGGAAGTAGAAATTATGCTGGGGGGGGGGTGGGACCACAACCTCCAATAGGAAGTTCCTATTGGGCGACGCCTTGCCACCCGGTATTAACCTGCGCACAATCATACCCGCCGACCGAGTCCTTGTCAAAATCCTCCGAGTTCCTGAGCTACAGCGAGCTCGCGCTCTGCGGCTCCCTTCGGGCTTCGCCTTCTCCTTCGTGCGCATGCGTATGCCGTCCCGCCTCCCTTGGCTTCCACAACTTGATGTGTAAGCCGGAGAGGGGCTTGTGCAGGGCGACCTGGCAGCTGGGGTCGCTCCCTTTGTTGGAGTCCACGGGCAACATCTGGATGTTCCTAACGCAAGCCACCCTAACATTTCATTCCCCTTCCTTGCCATCCTTTGACTCTGCCTTATTTTTTTCATGGCACTATCGTCATTATTATTATTATTTTGTCTGTCCCCTTCTTACTATAATATAAATTCTGTGATGCCCAGAGTTTGCCACTGCAGCATTCTCAGAGTAATCTGGGAATGCTGTAATCTGGAATTGTGCCTGGCACGGACAGGTGTTCAATACAAATTTGCTGAATGAATGAAAGAATAGCAACAGAAACTACAAAAACAACTGGAATTGGTTTTAGAAGTTCTGGATTCTAATCCTGACTCAACATCCCCCACTTTTGGCCTCTGGTCATGGTGGCTTTTTCTCCCTTGAATTTCTGGAAACAAAAATTGTTATCTGTTAAATTTTATCTATACAGTTCTTTCCTTCCCATTCCTTCTTCCTTCCCTTTTCTTCCTTCTACTTGTTTAAAGCAGTTTTCAAAATAAAAAGTTAAGGCCGAGTGCTGTGCTTACACTTGTAATCGTAGCGCTCTGGGAGGCTGAGGCAGGAAGATCATTTGAGCTCAGGAGTTTGAGGTTGCAGTGAGATACGGTGACACCACTGTGCTCTACCCAGGGCGACAGAGCAAGACTCTGTCTCAAAGAAATAAATAAATAAAAGTTAAAAATATATGTATGTAAAATAAAATGGCAGTAAACTTTTTTGATTATAGGCCCCTTTAAGAATGTAATGAAAGCTTTGAACACTTTCCCCCCAAAAAACGCACCTGCATGTAAACACACACAATTTAGCAGAGAGTCTTAGGATCCCCTAAGAGTCTTGGGCTTCTGTTGAGAACCCCTGGGCAGTAAAACAAACAGGGCCTGTGGTGTGAGAAGACTGGGCTCCTATCTTGTTCCCTTTCAGCCTGTGTGGCCTTGGGCAAGTTAGCAGAAACAGATGCTTTAAGGTCATGCAGTTTCATGAAGACAAAATTTAGGATCGTATTACTAGAGCTTTATAATCTGATCTAGCATTAAATTTTTCTCTGAGTAGCCTGAGTTTTTACATTTCATGGTGCAATCAGGATCATCAAATCCCTCAAACACAGCCAAAGGGTATGTGAGAACCCACAGTGTGGCCATAGAAAGAGTCCAAGCTCACAGATCAGGAGACCTTGGGTTCAAATCTCTGGTCAGCCACCAGCTATGCTCCTTCTCTAAAATAAGAATGTAATATGCATTTATTCATTCCTTCATCCAACAAATACTTACTGAAACCCAGCTCCACCTTGGGAAGTGACCCAACCTCCATCTGTATTAGTGAGCATTTATTTAATAAATATTAAGATGCCTACTATGTGCCAGGTGTGTGCAGTAGTCCACAAGAACTATAAGCTCTCTCTCTCTCTCTTTCTTTCTCTCTCTCTCTGTCTCATGCAGCTTACATTCTAGTGGTAGAGACAGGATTAAATGAAAAATACCCAATGCCTGGAACACATTAAAAAATTCAACAAATGTTCATTTTCTCATAGGGCTTCTGTACACTTTGCAGGGTGGCACTGCTAAGTAAAGATTCTGTCTATCGAATGCTTGGCAGTACATACATACAGTACACACTTAGGTATAGTAGCTGGTTTTTGTGGGGTTTTTTTAGCTTATCCAGAGGCCTTGTTCTGAGTGAGCTATGATGTTATTGTCAGGTAAGCTGAGCATTTGCAAAGGCTTCAGTGAGTGAATTTAGACAGTCCAAGAAACCAAAATCATCAATACAAAGAATATCTAACATTTATTGAGCACTTATTTTGTGTACATATCCGTGCTGAGCACTTTACATGGTCTTCCCTACCTCAGTAAATGGCCACTCCTTTCCTCAAGTCAAACACTTTGAACAAACACTCTGAAGTCATCTTTGACTCTTTTCTCTCTCTGTCTCTGTCTCTCTCTCACTCTCTCTCTCTCTCTCACACACACACACATTTCATAACCAATCCATCAACAAATCCTGCTATATTCAGCATCTGACCACTCCTTACCACCTACTGCTACCAATTTAGTTGAAGTGTTCTCATCTCTCACCTGGACAATTACAATAACCTCCTAACTGATGTCCCTGCTGCCTGGTCCCCTGGTAATCTGTTCTCTACATAGTGATCAAAGGCATCCTTTAGGGCCGGTGCGGTGGCTCCCGCCTGTAATCCTAGCACTCTGGGAGGCCGAGGTGGGCGGATTGCTCGAGGTTAGGAGTTCGAAACCAGCCTGAGAAAGAGCGAGACCCCGTCTCTACTATAAATAGAAAGAAATTAATTGGCCAACTAATATATCTAGAAAAAATTAGCTGGGCATGGTGGTGCATGCCTGTAGTCCCAGCTACTCAGGTGCCTGAGGCAGAAGGATGCTTGAGCCCATAAGTTTGAGGTATCTGTGAGCTAGGCTGAGCATGGCTGAGCTAGAGTGAGCACGGCACTGCTCACTCTAATTAAGAAATTAATTGGCCAACTAATATATATAGAAAAAATTAGCTGGGCATGGTGGTGCATGCCTGTAGTCCCAGCTACTCGGGAGGCTGAGGCAGAAGGATTGCTTGAGCCCAGAAGTTTGAGGTTGCTGTGAGCTAGGCTCAGCACGGCTGAGCTAGAGTGAGCACGGCACTCACTCCAGCCTGGCAACAAAGCGAGACTCTGTCTCAAGAAAAAAAAAGGGATCCTTTAAGTCAGAGCACCTCCCTCCTCTGCTCAAAATCCTCCAATGGCTCCCATCTCACTCCAAGTAAACACCCAAGTCTTTACAGTGGGCTGCAAGGCCCTACATACTGTCCCTAGTGACCTCTCAGACATCATCCCTTCTACCAACACCACCCTCTGCCCACCTCTCTCCAGCTACATTGGCCTCCTTGCCTTGCCTTGAACACACCAGGCTCTCTCTCCTGCCTCAGGACCTTTGCAAAAGCTCATTTCTCTGCCTGGAAGAGTTTTCTCCCAGATGGCTCCATGCATTCCTTCCTTATTTCACGTGGGTCTCTGTGTAAAAGTCCTGTTATCGGAGAGGCCTTCCCAGACCAGGTCTGGAAGGCATTGCGCCAAGTCTGTAGGGCACTGAGGTTAAAAGAACTGGCTACAAAATATAATAAAAAAAAAAAAAAAAAAAAGAACTGGCTACAGCCCCAAACTGCCTGAGTCCACCAGTCACCTAACGCTGTGTAACCTTAAGCAATTTCCTGCACATCCCAGTCTCAGTTTCCTCATCTGAAAAATGTGGAGAACAGTATCTACCGCACAGGATCACGGTTGGGATTAATATATACTCAGTGAGTGCCTATCATGTGCCAAGCGCCGAGGTCACACCAGGGAACAAAACATAGTCCCTGTCCCATGGTGTTTTGGTAGACGAAGGCAGACAATAAATCTATAAATATTTAATCTAGCAGATGGTGGTAAGTGTGATGAAGATAGATAAGACGCTCTAAGGAGGATAGAGTGTCAGGGTGGGGAGGGAGTGTTTCAGTTTAGGGTGGTCTTTTGGAAAACAAAAATATTTAAGTCATCCTTGAGAATGGACAGAAGCATCCAACGTGTCCTTGGGGTGCTTATACTGCCACTCACTGTGACCCCCACCCCCAGGGCACCAGGCGTCTCTGTGCAGGGAGCTTTCCCAAGGCCATGGCCAGCCAGGCATAGATTTGACGTCATCCTCTCGGCAGCTGGCGATGTTTACGCTCGCGTTGAGGCCACTAAGGCTCCTCCTGATGCCCTATTTTCTTGAAACAGGGAGCTGACGGGTGAGCCCCTTAGTACTGGGGGCGGCTGGTGGTGGTGGAGGGGGTACCCTGGGGTAAGATCAGGGGGAGGCTGCCTAGCCAAGGACAGGGCTTGCCTAGAGGAAAGTTCATCTGGGGCATCCTGCCTGCTACTTCTACTGTGGTTTCTCCCAGCTATGGTTAGCTCCTGGACCAATAAAAGTTTGTCTGCCAAGAGACTAATCCTGGGAGATGGCACTGAGGCCCATGCCCGGCTAATTTTTTCTATATATATTAGTTGGCCAATTAATTTCTTTCTATTTATAGTAGACACAGGGTCTCGCTTTTGCTCAGGCTGGTTTCGAACTCCTGACCTCGAGCAATCTGCCTGCCTTGGCCTCCCGGCGTGCTAGGATTACAGGCGTGAGCCACTGCACTGGCCCTAAAGGATGCCTTTGATCACTATGTAGAGAACAGATTACCAGGGGACCAGGCAGCAGGGACATCAGTTAGGAGGTTATTGTAATTGTCCAGGTGAGAGATGAGAACACTTCAACTAAATTGGTAGCAGTAGGTGGTAAGGAGTGGTCAGATGCTGAATATAGCAGGATTTGTTGATGGATTGGTTATGAAATGTGTGTGTGTGTGAGAGAGAGAGAGAGAGTGAGAGAGAGACAGAGACAGAGAGAGAAAAGAGTCAAAGATGACTTCAGAGTGTTTGTTCAAAGTGTTTGACTGGAGGAAAGGAGTGGCCATTTAGGCCACTTAGCCAGCAGGCTTGAGGGGAAGCCAGGGTGTTGTGGCCACCACCTCTATCCTCTGCACAACTTATCCGAACTGCTCGGCATCTTCGGTTCATTCAGTTAGGATCTCAAGTGTGTGCTGAGACTAGGGCCACAGCAGTGGCACTCATGGAACACCCAGTATAGAGAGAGACTAACCAGCAAACAGGTCATGGCAACCAGTGTGATGGGTCCTGCAATGGGGAGGCAAGACAGCATGGGCTTTGGCATCAAGTTCAAGTCCCAGGTCTGCCACTTATCTATATAATCACGGGTAAGGCAGGAAAGTCACCTCTTAGACCCTCATCTGTGAACTGGGGTTATTAGAAGGACCTAACAGGATAACAGATATTAGCTAATGTTTATTTTATTTTTTATTTTTAAATTTTTCTTTAGAGACAAAGTCTTTCCCTGTCTTTTTGAAGGGTTCTGCAGGCCATGTTGAGTCTTATCCAAGGGGTAGTGAGAAGCCTTGACTTTAAGCAAGGAGAGAGGTGATCAGCTTTGCGATTTAGAAAGATCCCCGACTGCAGTGCCCCTGGAGGTTTGCATAGAAGGCTGGGTGCAAGAGTCTCTTTTTTTAGGTGGGAGGGGGACAGTCCAAGCAGGGTGGGCTGAATAGTGTACCTGTGCATGTCAGAGCACTGGATTCAGAGCCTGAGCTACCTGGGTTTGAGCCTTGGCCCTAGTCCTTCCTACTAGGAAGACCTAGGGCAATCCATTTTACCTCTCTAAGCCTTTCTTTTTTTTTGAGACAGAGTCTCACTCTGTGGCCCAGGCTAGTGTCAGCCTAGCTCACAGCAACCTCAAACTCCTGG